GCTTGTGAATCCACACCCATGTCTAAGATCCCCGGTTGCCCCTAGGCTAAGTGCCCGTCTGTCAACTGGAAAGTTGGCAGTTTGTAAGTCCACATGGCAGAAGCACACCCACCGGTGTGATCCAAGAATCATAGACACTAAAATTCAAATCCGAAGAGGGAAAGGGCGTCAAGAGCTTCAATTCTGAACACCCGGTCTGCAGAAGACTATGGATGACAGTGGAAGCCCACAATCCATTGGCAGGGTCCCCACATGGATTAAGCCTTTGTGGAATCTCCTCTGATCATAATCTAGGGATGTTGAAAAAAAAGGGTTTTTTTAAGTTGGCAGTTTGAACCCTCCATTGAAATAATGGAATTAGACACAATTCATAGTAACATGCTCACCTCAGCCTCACTTGGTGGTCCTCGTGGAGAGAGAGGGAGGGGATGGAGGACAAGGGGAAGGGAACAGGGGAGCGAGGCCGGGAGAGGAGAGGGGGAGCGAGGAGAGGTCAAGGGAGGAGCCGAGAGAGCTCTTTATTGCTAACTCAGGCCTATATATCTTTGGGGGGCCTGCAAGCCCACTAATTACAGGTAGAGACGTCACAGGAAGGGTTGCACTATAGGTTATACAGCAACCGAGAGGGGTGCTAATGAGTCATAATCAACAGGCCCCACCACCACCACCCCAACAACAACTGGTCTGCTTTTTGTGGGGGAGAGGGGGCACAGAGTTTTATCAGAGTTACAGCCCCTCGAACAAATGTGGGGGAGCCCCAAAGAGTCGAGGAAAACTGATAGGTTTCTCTCTTGCCACTTGCCTCTAGTTTGCAAGCAATGAAGACAAGAAGGTTCTCTGAAGTCTCCACTCTCTCTAACGTAGGTAACTCCTCCGACACCCTCAGAGCCTCACCTTTCTCTGAGGACTGGGTCGGGCCTACCCCGAGTGTGTCCTGGGTGCCACAGCCAGGTCCCCACCCTGTCATCAGACCCCAACACCTGCCCTTTGAGGACAGCCTCCCTCCCTCCCATGTCATTCCAAAGACAGGTGAGCAGCCTGAGCCCAGCCGAGGCGCAGGAGTGGGCTTAGAAAACAAGACAGGTCTGCGGTGGTGTTCGGCTTCCCGTCTAGTCCACTGTCATTGGAAGTTTGAAGACTGCAGAGGAGAGAAGTCGCCAACCCTGCTGCCACCCATACAGTCTCCACCCCCCCCACACACACACACGTGTGGCCCAAACGGGGAGCAGTGTCAGTGAAGATGTGTGTCCTCTGGAAGCTGCATTATTTCCCAAGTGGCAGCAGCACTGTTGGCGTTGGCAACAAGTAGGCAGGCTGGACTGTGGTCTCTCACTGGCCAGTGTCAAGATGCTACAACCTCTAGCCTCTGCCTCTCCAACCTTGAGCACTCTGGAAATGCACAGCAAAACGTGCTAGGGACAGGGTGGGACGGGGACCATCACCCCAGGAGTTTGCCTTTGGTTGTGTTCGCCAGCAGGTGCAAACCAATGTTCCCGAGCGGCCCCTCGGGTCTTTCCCCAGTGGCCCCCAAGGGTGGCACCTTATGCAACTACAGGGCCGTCGCCGGACCAGAAAATGCTCATGGTAGACATAATCTGCCCCTAACCTCATCCTCACTCAGATTCCACCTTTTGGGTTTTTAATGCCACGAGGAAACAGGTGGCTTTGTTTATTCCTGATCTGATTTGACCCTTGTGGTCTTTCTCTCTAGGATTTCGTGTTTTCTTCACTCCAGACCGCACGGTTGATTGAGCATCCTTGCATGCACAGTATAAAGCTGTATGTGGGGTAAGAAGCTATGTTATGTCTTATGACCTTTTTTAAAAAAAGTAAATCACTTTATTGGGGTCTCTTACAGCTCTTTTAACAATCCATACATCAGTTGTATCAAGCACACTTGTATATATGTTTCCATCATCATTTTCTTTCTATTAGAGCCCTTGATATTGGCTCCTCTTTTTTAAAAAAAATCATTTTATTAGGGGCTCATACAACTCATCACAATCCATACATACATCAATTATGTAAAGCACATTTGTACATTCATTGCCCTCATCATTCTCAAAACATTTGCTCTCCACTTAAGCCCCTGGCTTCAGCTCCTCATTTCCCCCCTCCCTCTCCACTTTCCCCTCCCCTCCTTAATTTTTTTAATGAGTTTGATCTGCTTTCTTTCATCCATTCAACAAACACTTTTTTTATTAATTGGGATTTAATACATGTATCATACCATTCCATACTTTGATCATGTCAAGTAAAACTGTACAGTTGCTACCACAAACCTTTTCCAAACATGGACTCCTTGACATCATCCCCCCTTCTATCCCCCACCCCAGTACCCTCCTTAGTCCACTTCCTGTCTGTCCCTCCAGGTGCATTGATCCGAGGTTCCATCTCCTGAAAACACAGCAAAGCAGATGACACAGCTTCAGGAGGGTGACCTCCAATGACATAGCACCTCTGAGACACACCCCAGGATGAACATACAAGAACCACACAAAACAGTACAAACCAAAAAATACAGAAAATGTTGGGAGCCAGACCAGGTCCAGCCTGCATCCTAGTGGGGCATCTACTGACAGAGTTTTGACCGTTCAAGTCAGATTTTGCCTTTGATCTTCCCTACTCCCCTCTCGCCAGCACTCCGAACATTTTCCTTTTCAAATGAATGGGATCTTCCACCCCCAAGCCCCAACGCTTCCAGTGTCTTGACACTATTCTGAAAGGCCCTGCCCTCACTGAACATCTGAGAAGGCCTCTCTGCACCCCCAGCCCCCGAGCACGGGGCACGGCGAGGCAGCTTTGTGTTCTGTGGTCCTTGGTGTGGCTCCGGCTTGGAGCCCACAGGATGGTCACTGAAGGCAAGTAGGGGATGTCAGCAGGACTTGGGGGGATTCGAGGAGGAAGAGCCAGTGGTCCAAGGTGACCCCCAAGTCTCTGGCGTCACTGAGCATGCAGGGGGCGGGGAGAAGAGCGAGAGAGGTGTGATCCGTGTGGGGCTCTCTGGACCTGCAGGACACCCAGGCTGGAACTGGAAGCAGAGCGTCACCACGTTGTAGATCAGGTGCAGGTGGCCGAACAGGTTGTAGGCTTGATGGCTGTCTTCTGGCATCTCCGTGGGGCATTCTGGGGGTGCAGTGGCTACAAGGTGAGATGCTCACCACAAGGTCAGCAGTTTGAGACCACTAGCCAGCCCCAAGGGAGAAAGACGAGGCTTCTCCATGCCTATAAGGATTTAGGGTTTCAGAATCTCACGGGTGGGGGGGGGGACTTCCACCCTGTTCTCTGAGGTGGCTGTGCCTTGGCATCACCTTCCTGGCAGAGTTTGGAATTGTGGAGCATGTTGTGTGGTTGGAAGGGGTGCCAGCCCCTCACCCCACTAATCCCAGGTTCAATCGGCACAATTGTACGGTTGGGATATATAAATATTATATTAAAGTCTTAGAGAGCATGAGAGATAGAAGAGAGATTGAAATAATGGAGTCAGACACAATCCATGGTAGCATGCTCACCTCAGCCTCACTTGGTGGTCCTCGTGGAGAGAGAGGGAGGGGATGGAGGATAAGGGGAAAGGGAACAGGGGAGCGAGGCCGGGAGAGGAGAGGTGGAGCCGAGGAGAGGTCAAGGGAGGAGCCGAGAGGGAGCTCTTTATTGCTAACTCAGGCCTATATATCTTTGGGGGGCATGCAAGCCCACTAATTACAGGTAGAGACATATGTCACAGGAAGGGGTAGCACTATAGGTAATAAAGCAATGAGAGGGGGACAATAAAGGATATACATGCAATAGGAAGAGGAGGGATTGGGGGTATCCATGAGACAAGAAGGGCGGATCTTAGATTCAGGGTGGCAGCCTAATTTTGGATGTCACTGAGCAGGTTTGATCTGTTCTCTGACTCATTGTCTTTAACAGCAGGGAGCGTTTTTTCGGTCCCTACCAGTCCAGACAGTTGTCTGGCAACTGACTGCCTTCAGGGTGGTAACTTGACCATCTTTTATCATTAGCTGCAAGCAGTGTCCTGAGTCTAACATATATTTGGGGAGATGACTTGGAAGAAATCTTTGTTTCCCACAACATTGTCTGTCTGTCTGTCTGTGCTGTGGAGCTCGTTCTGACTCAGAGCCACCCCCAAACCCTGCCCGGTCCTCTGGCATCTGCATAACCGTTCCATGTCTGAGCCCGTGCTGGTGGCTGCCCATCTCGGGCCTCCCTCTTCCTTGGCGGCCCCCTGCACTGGACCAAGCACAGCGTCCTCCTCCAGGAACTGGTCTCTCCTGACAACGTGCCCAAAGTCCGTGATCGAAGTCTCGCCTCCCTCTGCCTCCTCAAGAGCCCTCTGGCCGCCCTCCCTCCCAGACAGATGTGCTGGTGCTTTGCCCCCACCCCCAGTGCCTCAGGAGTCTGCCAGCGCCTCCAGCCGGCCTTATTCAACGTCCACCTCTCCCGTATGGATGAGGGGCTTGAAAAGACCATGGCTGGGCCCGGCCCACCTGGGCCCTCCGAGTAACACCCTGGTCTTTCAAGACGTTAAAGAAGCCTCTTGCCACAGCAGCTTTCCCCAACGTGCTGCTTCCGCGGGCACGGATTGAGGAGCCACGCAGGACCGGATCCTTGATGACTTCCGCCCTCCTCCGTTTCTCAGGAGGGGACCGAGTGGGGACCGAGTGGCCCAACCGGCAGTTCCCGAGCGCTGAAGGCACAGAAAGAGCAGGCGTTGGCATCACTGTCAAGGGCAAGGGATGTTTTTCTCTCCGATGAGGACTTCAGGAGTCTGAAGCCAAGGCATTGGCTTGGGGGCGGGGGTGTTCTTCCTGGCCTGTGTCAGCTTCTGGTTGCTTGCCAGCAGCCTCAGGGGTCCTGGGCTTCCCGCTAACATCTCCTTCCCATGCCGAGTGGATGTGCGCGGTGGGTGTGCGAGCCCTTCCTCGCCGTGTGTCTGGAGCCAGAACACACCTCGGGTTCTGACTGATTGAGTCCAGGACTTTGGCTCTCCAAGGTGGATGCACTGCATCTCACTGTCGAGGTAACGTGCCGTGCCACCCAAGGCCACCTCCTTCATCACCTGTGTCACTGCTCTGCGTGTGAGAGGCCACGGGCTGCCTGGCCAACACACAGATGTACCAGGGGAGGAAGAGCGTGGCAATGTGAACAAGCCACAACGATGATGTCCCTTTGAAGACCAGGTGCGCCTGACCCACACCAGGCTCAGTTGCCTTATGCGCACCGTGATGTTAAGGAAGCCAGAGGAAGGATCGGTGCCTCTGGCCGAGCTAGGGGGAGAGGGCAGAAAGCACCGTGGACTGCCAGAGAATGCACAAATCTGTCTGGAAGAAGTGCAGCCGGAGTGCTCCTTAGAATAAGGTGACCAGATTGTAACATTGGTAAAGCGGGACACCATTGATAAAACTCCTATCCTGGCAAAATAGCCACATGGCAGCCGAACACCGTATACCCTACCTTGTCATGCATTCTTTCCAAAAATCAGGACTTTTTTAAAACACCACAGGATGCAGGAAAAATTGTTAAAAATCAGGACTGTCCCGCCAAAAGCGGGACATCTGGTCACCTTACCTTAGAAGCAAGGATGGCTTCGTCTCAGGCACTGTGGACGTGTTGTCAGGAGGGACCAGTCCCCGGAGAAGGACGTCATGCTCGGTAAGACAGAGGGTCAGCGAAAAGGAGGCAGACCCTCAACAAGATGGAATGACAACCGGGGCTGCCACCAGGGGCTTGACTCTGGCAATTGTGAGGATGGTGCAGGGCCGGCCCACGTTTTGTCTGGTGGCACATCGTGTGGCTGTGAGTTGCGTCCAAGGGGAGGGCAGCTCAGGATGGGTCATTGTCTGGGGATCCAGCCCCTAAGAGATCATCACTGGCCCTGCAGGCGCAAATGTACGGTGATAATAAGGAAAGATGATAGGAAAGTCATATGAAATAAAAGAGAGAGAGGAGAGAATGCAACAAAGGAGTCAGACACATCTCATGGCAGCATGCTCACCTCCGCCCCGCTTGGTGGTCCACGTGAGGATGTGGAAGGTGGGAATTGCAGGAGCGAGAGAGAGAGCGATTTATTACTAACCAAGGCTTATGTATCTTTTGGGGGCGTGCAAGCCCCCTGATTACAGGTCAAGACATACGTCACTGGAAGGGGTTGTACTATAGGTAATACAGTAATGGGAGGGGGAGATGTGAGGGTATATACGAAATAGGAAGGGGAGGGATTGGGGGTACACATGTAATGAGATGGGCGGATCCTAGATTCAGGAAGGCCAACTAACTCTGGATGTCATTGAGCAGGCTTGACCACCTCTCTGGCTCTCCATGGAAACAACACTATCCTTATCAGTAGGGTGTGAGCCCCACCTACAGTGGACCAGACAGTAGTCTGATGGCTGAATGCCTTCAGGGAGAACATCTCCAAGCATCTGACCTCCCACCATGTGCTGGCAAACAGCCTCTAATGTTTGGCACATCTTTGGGGGAGACAAAGCTGGGGGAAAGTCTTCATATCCCACAAGTCATTGTGGCTGCTTTTCAGAAGTGGTCCACTTGTCCCCTTTTTCCTTGTCTGCCTGCCTCTGGGAGCTCTGCCAAAGCCTGGCTGCCACGGGTGACCCTGCTGGGTAGGTGAAATGCTGGCCGCATTGCTTCCTTCGCCCCAGCCACATATTATTTATGTCAAAACAAATATTTTACAATATATAATCATCTATCTTTTTTTGTGATTCATCACTATGCTTTAATTATGTTCAATTTGTCGCAATGAAAATACACCCTGAATATCAGATTTTTAAAAATTATATCAGCTATTTACATTACAATTCATAACAGTAGCAAAAGTACAGTTAAGAAGTAGCAACAAAAATCATTTTATGGTTGGGGGTCATCACAATATAAGGAACTCTATTGGTAGCCAACCCAGCGGGCCGCCCCCTGACCAGGCCCCAGTGCAAGCAGGACTTTTGTTTGCATGGGAGACGTCTAGAGCACCGTCGTCCTTCCTCCGCGTGTGCGAAATGGTCCTCATGTCTCATCTCCTCACTCCCTTCCAGAAAGAATGTCTTCTTCACCCAGGATAACTTTGTCAACATCATCCCGTTCACCGTCCCAAAGGCACTGGAGGTAGGCAATTGACTCAGCGGAGACGAGGGAGGTCCAGGGAGAGAAAGCCAAGCGCGCAGACCCACTGCCTTCCAGCCCCCACAGACTCCTCGCGACCCTGCAGGGCAGCGTGGCGCTGCCCCGGTGGGTTTCTCAGACTGTAAATCTTTACAGGAGCAGAAAGCCCCATCGTTCTCCCTAGGAGCGGCTGGTGGGCTGGAACCGCTGACCTTGGGGTTGGTAGCCGGACTTGTATCCCAGTATAGCAGAGCTGGGAACTATCAGCTGGATCAGCTTCTGTTCTTCTGGGGGTGTTTTTGTTTCGTTTTGTGTTTAATGCGATCTCTTCAAGAGGTTTAAAGCGGTGGTTCTCAACCTGTGGGTCGCGACCCCTGTGGGGGTCCAACGACCCTTTCACAGGGTCGCCCATGACCATGGGAAAACACATATTTCGGATGGTCTTAGGAACCGAGACACCGCTCCTCTATCCGTCTCCACATATGTGTGCCCAGTGTGAAGACTGTGTCCCATGCTGCACCTTGCCTCAAGATAAAATTCCATTTATTTGCAATATTTTACAATATATAATCATATATCTTTTTTGTGATTCATCGCTATGCTTTATGTTCGATTTGTAGCAATGAAAATACACCCTGAATATCAGATTTTAAAAAATTTATATCAGATATTTACATTACAATCATAACAGTAGCAAAATTACAGTTATGAAGTAGCAACAAAAATAATTTTATGGTTGGGGGTCATCACAATATAAGGAACTATATTAAAGGGTCATGGCATTAGGAAGGTTGGGAACCACTGCTTTAAGGTGATTTCTTTTAAACGTTTGACTGTGAAAACAGGTGGGTGGGGGGTTACATACTGGATCAGCATTTTAACATTCAACAACTTCAACAATGTATCAAACCTCCCAGGGGCTTGTCCTGTTCCCCCCTCCCCCACTTCCTTCCACCCCCATCTCCCTCTTCACCCAAGTTGACCTCTGTTACCCTCTATCCCAGCGGTACTCAACTTTCCTAATGCCGCGACCCTTTCATACAGTTCCTCATGTGGTGGTGACCCCACCATAAATTATTTTCATTGCTACTTCATAGCTGTTATTTTGCTACTGTTATGAATCATAATTGTTATGAATATAAATACCTGATATGCAGGATGTATTTTCATTGTTACAAATTGAACATCATTAAAGCATAGTGATGAATCACAAACACAATATGTCATTCTATATTGTGAAATATTTATTTCTAATGACAAATAAATGAAATGTTGTCTTGAAGTATGGTGTAGCCTGGGATAACAGTTTTCATGCGGGGGTACTCTCGTACGTGGGCGTATCTACATGTGGGCGGACCTTCCTGGAGATGGACAGAGGAGCAGTGTCTGGGTTCCTAAGACCATGGGAACTATGGGTCATTCGACCCCCAAAGGGGTCACGGCCCACAGGTTGAGAACCGCTGCTCTAAGCCTATTGCTTCCCCTACCCTCCCACTCCTCCCCCTCTTGGTAATCTTCAAAGTCTTTTCTGTTGTTTTTCTTGAAAACCTTTTCTACACACACACACACACACACACACACACACACACACACACACACACACGGGGGTGCCCCCACACACACACAAATGGAATTGCCCTGGGCGGAGCAGAGCTTTCTTAGTATGCATTTTTCCCACTAGGCGAGGAGCATCCAGCAACTTGCTCTGAGTTAGTGCACCCAGTGGTGTCACCTGGGAAGGTTCTCTCTGGCCACAGAGCATTTTTGTTTGTAAAAGCAGTTTGGCTGGAACCTCATTTTTTTGTGATGGTTGACTTAAGAGAACAGCGTGCGGCTGTGAAATTTTGTTTCCTGCTCTGGGGAAAAGCCACAGAAACTGTTGTGATGTTCAACACAGCTTGCAAGGACTGTGCTATGGGAAAACTCAAGTGTATGAGTGGTTTTCTCATTTCAACAAATGTGAGATGTTGCTGGATGACAAACCTCGTTCTGGACATGCGTCAACTTCCTGAATGGATCAAAATGTCAACTCTAGTGCTTTTAGGGTTCTTTCCACCAGGTCAGACCGTTCATCAAGCTTTGTATTTAGAGGTTCTAAAAAGATTGCATAACAGCGTGTTACAAAAAATGCCTGATCTGTGGCAGACGGGGGACTGGTGTTGCCACCACGACAACGCACCTGCTCGTGCAGCCATCTCAGTGCCCCAGTTTTTAGCTAAAAACAGCATGCCTCTCTTGCCCCACGCACCTTACTCACCTGACCTTGCTCCGTGCGACTTCTTCTTGTTTCCAAGAATGAAGCAGGACCTGAAAGGACAGTGATTCGACGTAGACTAGGTGAAGAAAAAACGAGAGAGGTGCTGTCTGCCATCCAAACAGATGAGTTTGAAAAAATTTTTTTCCATGAATGGAATTGCAGATTTGACAAGTGTATTAAATATGATCCAGAGTATTTTGAAGGTGATAAGGTTGTCTTGTAAAAAAAAAAAATCTAAATACATAACTTTTGGGGGGAAAATCTGTTTTTTTTGGGGGGAACCCCCTTATGTATATACATCTATATTTTTAAATAACAGTCGTCTCATACAATCTCTGTACTTTGGCGATTGACTAACACCACTCAGCACAACGTCCGGATCCATCCATGTCACGGGATGCTTCACGGTTTCGTCACTGGTCTAAATTTAGCACGGCGTGGTACGCCGTTGTGCATACACCCCTGGTGACTTCTCCATCTTCCACCGACGGGTATTTCTGTCCTTGCCATCTTCTCGCTGGGTTGAATGGTGCCGCTGTGGGCACGGCTGTGTCCATACATGTTCGTACTCTGTTCCCTATTTCTGTGGGGTGTCTACCAAGCAATGGCCTTGCTGGGTCCTATGGTATCTCTACTCCAATACCTCAAGGGGGCGCTGTCAGTAGCAGAAGTGCCTTTTCTCATAGATCAGAGGTCCGTGCTCAGGAATTCGTGATGGGGCTGCAGAAGGGGGGAGGGGTCCTTGCTGGTCTCCAGTGACCACTGTCCATCCTCAGAGGGGCGACTGTCTCCAGGGCCTGCCCTCCTTTTTCCCCCTCCAAGTTGCCCTGGCCTGATGCCCTAAAGGCTGGTGTTCCAATCCCATTGGCGACACCTCGCCATCAAGACCTCGGCACCTGCTCCCATCCAGACGGAGGCTCGTGTGAAATGCCTTGACTCACGGCAACGCCATGCCCAACAGAGCAAACTATGCCTCCCTCCCCCCTTTCCGCCCTGCTGCCCTGCCCTATCTGAGCTCCTTGTTTCAGTCACCTGCCAATCCTTCTCTTCAAAGAGCTTCTCGATTGATTTTGGGGTGGGGTGAGGGGGTGCCGCGGGGTGGGGGCAGGGGGGGGGCGGCTGACGATGCTACTGCGCTGATGTCAGAAACACTGTTACTGAGATATTTCTGCACCGGTGGGAAAGAAACAGTGTTGCTGATACTCTGTGTGCAGGGATGCTGGAGAGAAACACGGTTACCCACAATGCACCTGTCCTTCTCCCTAGGTTGGCAAGCCTGAACTCACCTCGGCCCTTTTTGCCCAAGATATCCTGCTGGTGGTGTTAAACAAGAAAGTCTATGGTTACTATTTTAAGCGCGATATCTGGGAACAAAGCGAAGGTGCGTGCATCTCGTGTGGTGGGTCCTGCTTGAATTTAGCCAGCCTCCCTCCAAGGTGAGCAAGGGTTCCTCGTGGAAAGGTCATATGCTGGCCTACAAACCGCCAGCTGGACCAGGCTGCTGCTGTCTGCTCATCCTTGCCCCTCTCAACAAGGATTGGCCCTGACCCCGCAGCCTGTCAGCTGGGAGCTGAGGGTCTCAGTAGGGGTGTGTGGTTGTGAGCCAGATGTCTGTCCTGACTGATTGAAGCGAGCAAGTGGCATCCGTAGGTTTGATACTGAATTGGGCCTCGGATGGAGGGGACCAGGCTGGGCCCAAGAATGAAGTCTAGACATCTGGTGGCCGAGCTACATATGCATTACAGTCAGGAGCAGGTCACAGAAGACAGGGGGCTATGGTCGGTGGGAGCAGTGGTAGAATTCCAACTTCCCGTGTGAGAGACCCGGTTCGATCCTTGGCCACTGCCTCTCATGCACACCCTACCACCTGTCTGGCGTGGTGTCTGGCATGGCTCAGAAACCACACAGGTTGGCGCCCGAGATCCCAGACAGACTGGGACAGGGACAGGGACGGAAGGCCTGGCGATCGACATCCGGAAACTCCCTGGGCCCCTCTGCCATGAGACTGGAAGTCTCCATGGTGCCCGTCTACCATGGCAGAGGGTGTGTGTGCTGTGGGGAGCGGGACCGAATTCTAACTTCTCTTGGACTTCCTGGAGCCATGAAGGTTGGAGAAACCCCACCCCACCCCCCGCCC